TGCTGTTCCTGAAGAAAAACCACTTCATGTCAGTGAGTGTTAATTTTGTCTTATTTCACAAGAAAACTGATCGTTGTTTTTCGAGGGGATAAAAGGGGTAGCACCAGGGATAATCCCACGCCCACATAAAGAAGGAGTAATTACCTTCTTCAGATAACAGGCCAGAAAGTTGCTATAGTTTTTCGGTTAGAGCAGAAAGATTGTCGTGGTTTGGATTGCCCAGTGTTAAAGAGACTATGTGCAGTCCCAGAAAGGAAAACCAGGAAGACGTTAGCTGCACCGGGCGAGAATTCGTGTGCTGGTCAGATATGCGGGTCATTGCTAGGCCACGCAACCGTGAATTGGAGTCGTGGGGGCACCATTCATCACAGTTTCAGGGGCCTTTCTAGTGCAGACTATGAAACATTACATAGCAAAATGAGACCCTGTAAAGAAATGGGACATTTTGAAGATAGATGTGTTTATCCTTTAGTTGGAGTCAACAAGATCTTCTTGATACCTCTTTAATCTGCTATTGAGGACTGCCTGCCTAACTATTGTTTGCCTCGGCATCTCTGGGGGAGAGGGGCAAGGGAAGAAAGTGACGTCATGATGTCACACTGTCAATCCGATGGCTTCCATACTTGTGTCAGACCTTGGGAATCCAAGGGCAAAAGGACAAGCTTTGTGTGGTGACATCACAGCATTTGTGTCATCTTTTTTCTATCCTCCGGACCACAGGCAGCCACGGAGAGTTGAGGGGCCGAGGGCTTCCTGAGCGGCGCTCCAGCCAGTAGGAAATCATCAGGGAATGGTAAAGTCCCCTGCAGTATGTGAGTAAAGTATGTAAATAAAGTTTAAGGCCCAGTAAGCAAGCTACTACGGTAGATAGAGATGAAAGAGAGATAGATGAGAGATAGAGACAGAGACGTAGATTTTGCTGATTTCATTGCTAACTTGACTCGGATTTCAGTATGGCTGTGCAGCTCTGTGATGTGGGATAAAACTTGCCCCGTCCATTACATTAGGGAAGCTTTCCTGAAGACAGAAGGTAACCTTGTTGCTGTCAGATGCCAGGACTGGGCCATTTTTAACAATTTTTTTTTTTAATTCTCAAAATTGTCACCTCTCAAAAGGTGTCGTCTTCAAGGGCTGTTTCTTCCAGAGCGGATAATCTGGAAACCAGTCGCCCCTTATCTACTTCCCATGCCATTTTCAACTCTTTAGATTAGTGTTTTGTAAGTCAGCCAAAACTGAATAGCTGTTCGATAGGATGGTACAACTTCTTAGATGAAACTGAAATATTTAGCCAGTTTCCCAAAGCACCTTTTTTTGTCCTGTCTCTGCAGGTAAAGAAGCCTTCCGGGTCATCTCATGTTGAACATCTGTTGGTGTGTTTCGTGCAGTGGAAAGGAGGAGGAATAGCCAAAGAAGCCGCAATTGTTGCAAGGTTACAGCAGAGGGGGGAAATAGCTGGAA